AAGTCCATCAAGTTTGTAAAAAAAAAAATTCAGGTAACCTGTTTCTACCAATATATAATGCCTATGGGAAATGTTTTGACTTAAAATGGGCAAAATGGAATGAGCCACTAGTTTATAAATTGTGCTTTTTTGTATTTCCCCTTCTATTAAAATCTGTCGATTGGTTTTCTTTGAAGTGGTCCAGAAGATGTATGGGAAATAAATAAATTAGGTGCTCTAATACATGAAACATTTTTATCTAGTTCTGTGTACATACGAGATGATGTGGTTGAAATTACATTTAAACTAATCAAGTAACTTAGTTTAGTTATGAACTTTCCATCTTTGCTTAACATATGTTAAAATTGTTGATGAAACTTCTTGGGCTCATAAAACATGAAGTTTGTGCACTTGTTTATGATGGACCCCATGCAAATAAACGTTTCAAATTGTCAATCTTAAGGAATCCAACTATGTTTAGAGTGTAAATGGTCTATGAAATTAGGAAGGGTGTTATTATTTCGTAAAAGTATTTGTCTACCATGCTGCGAGTGCAGATAGAAATGTGTATTGCAAATGATCCTTATGCCAGAGTGTATGGTAGTATTTTTACTATACCCTTAAATTATTTTGCTCATGTTTTTGTTGTTTTGGTAGGGTATCAGGTGATTTGAAGCGGACGTTTTTAATCAATCTTGATTTCGATGATTTAAAACCTCATAAATGGGATGGTTTGACAAACGAGAACATGCGTTTCATCAGATTTGGAGGACATGACCGTAAAACAAGAACTTTTTAGTATGACTCATGTAAGGTTCATTTTTGCTGAAAACCTAGAGGAAATTATAGAGCAGCGGATTTTTTATTGATTGAGCAGCAAACTTTTTTATTGATTGAATGTTCACGATTTCTACTTGAATATAACTATTAGATTAATTTGAATGATGTTTTGATCAAGTTAGGATCACATTGGATCAGACACTATTTTTATTGAGAACTTATGTAATTTCACTTATTGTTTATTTTGCATTTTTGTAACGTTGATTTTGTTATAAATCTAGTTCTAAAAAAATAGTCAATTTTGTATCTATTTTTCTATAAAATTAATCCTATCAGCTATCACATATTTTTTGCTAATGAATTACTCCATGGTTAACTTGCTACGTATATTTTTATGATGTTATTATGTAATCGATATAATGTGGATTTTGATATGGAATCTATTATTCTATCACATTTTTTTTTGCAACGGAAGATGACTCGATAATATGCTACGTAATAATTGCAACTAAAGTAGGTCGTCGTTAATTTGCTACGAAATATTTATGACGTTACCCGTAGTGGATTTGCTACGGAAATTCAGTACGAAATTAATTTGTAGTGAATTTGCTATAAATTACTACGGATCAGGCCATAGTTAATTTGTTACGGACTTGCTACGGCATAATTTCGTAGTTAATTTGCTACGCTTTTGCTACAAATGTAATCCGTAGCTATTTTGCTATGAAATAACTCCGTTGCAAATTCCGTTGCAATGGTCCTACGGATTCCGTAACGACCCTTTAGTAACGAAGAATTTTGCTACAAAATGGTTCTGTAGTAAATTCCATCTCTATTCATGTTTACCTACGGAATATCATGTTTTAGCTACAGAATTTTTCCATAGCTATTTCAACTTTTTCTTGTAGTGTCTAGAGGTTTAGATGCATGGAAGGAGTTTTCACCAAAAGGCATTTTATGACTTTTATTAATAGAACATGCATCACAATGAAAAAAGGTACTGGACATTTTATTGTGCGAGAATCCTAAATTTTTAAGTAAGAACTTTAGAATTTTGATTGAAGGATGTCCAAACTTGTAGTGTCAGTATAGAAGAGACCCAGTGGCTGTTGTGGTAGAATTTATTTGGGGCAAACGACGGAGAGAGTTGATGACTGCATAGTAGACATCATTGACGTTCATTCCCCGCATGAGAGGCGCCCCCGTGCGAAGATCCTTAACCAAAAAATGAAAAGGAAAAAATTCAACCGACACATTATTAGATTTACAGAGTTTTGCAACAGAGATAAGATTATTACGAAGTTGAGGGACAATAAGGACATTGTGTAAATTTAAGGGTCGAGACCGGGATGGAAGGGAGGTGTGACCATTGTGAGAGATGGGTAGATTTGTATCATTGCCAAGCATGATTTCATCTGGCCCTCGAAAGTCTGATATGGTGTGCAATGAGGACCGATCGGAAGCTACATGATGAGATGCCCCACTGTCAAACATCCAAGGTGGGTTTGGTGCAGAAGTGGTAGCTGTGGAGTGGTTAATAATTGGAGTTGATGGTGGACCTGATGAGATGATGATGTTGTTGTATCGTAGAAGTCTTTCTAATTTTCTGCAATCTTTGGTGTCATGCCCTGGAATGTTACAGAATTGACAAAACAGAGAGTTACGAGTGTTAAAATTAGAATTGGGCCCAGAGTGGGAATACCTGTTATTTCGTGGCCCAAAATTGTTGGATCGATGATTGTTTCTCTGATCATAATTTGTGCAGCCTGTGGAGCGGGTATTTGATTTTTGTGTATAATTGACAGTGGCGATGGTCGGCGTTGAAGTAGCTTCATGAAGGGAGCGTTCATAGTCAATCAGTTTAGCAAAGAGATCTGAGAAGGTAAGTGGAGTATCTCTGACTTGTAAGGCTGCAGTTATATGCTTGTAATCATCCCCTAATTGAGCTAGGATGTGAACAACTAGGTCTTCTTCCTGAACTGGAGATTGTGCTAGGACTAATTCATCAGCAATAGCTTTCATTTCATGAAGAAATTCAGCCATTGATTTTGAGCCTTTGGGGTTCTTTGCCAATTTGGATTTGAGAGAGATGATGCGAGATCTGGAGACACTAGCGTAGCTATCAGTGAGACTTTTGAAAGCCTGTTGAGCAGTCTCTGCGGAAGAGACAATGGGTTGAATGATGTCCGAGCAACTACCTAGAAGAGCCCCCAGTAGTATTTGATCTTGACGATACTAGGCCTGATAGAGAGGATTTGGTTTGCTGTCAATTGTTTTTGGTGGTGGGTCGACTGAATCTTTGACATGTTTGTCAAGACCGAGACCAATGAGGGTGGAGAGAACTTGTTTTCTCCATACAGGGAAGTTGGTTGATGTGAATTTAATGGGAAAGTGAGTGTGTGTGGTGATTTCAACAATGGTGGCCATGTCGGTGTTGAAGGATCATGAAGGCTCAGAGGAGCAAGAAGTGCTCTGATACCATGTAAGGTTTGAGAGATTATTGTGTAACTTGAATGATATTACAAACTTTCTGTAGCCATTTATAGGCCTTTTACAACAAAGTAATAGAGTAATTACAGGAGCTATATTTGGTATACATATTAGGACCAATATATGATGATACACTTTCCGTCTATTGTGATTGTGTGGTCCCTATAATGGTGGAGTCTTTGGAGTCTCTTATAAGAACAATTTTCTTCTGACATAACAATCTTCATATTCGAGATCACATGAGTATACGCATAGCTACAAGATTTGAGAGATTTCAACAATCCAGGAGGACCGGTTTTCAATTCACGGAAATCATTTCGTAATGAGTTTGCATGTCTGATTGTCTGATTGTCTGATTGACTGTGATAGTTGTAAGGATAGTTATATTTTCTGCAAACTTGCTCCTGTCATCAGATTCAAGGATCTGAAAGCAGACATCGGTGTCTTGTAGTTTGTTGCAAACTTTGTCAACGAGTTTGTATGGTGGAGAAAAGTCGGCATTTGATATCGAGAACAGCAAATTAATCAAGAACAAGAAAAAGATTTTTGTGAAGGACAATGAAGCCATATCTTATCTCCGGTGGATATAAAGATCTGACTTTGGCTTCAAGAGTACAAGAAAGTGAAGAAACCATGCATTATATAAGGCCAATTTGGAACTAAGAAATGCATGATTTTTCAAATTTTATAATTCCATCAATTTATGTGGTTTCCTCCGTTATATATCGGACTTTCTCCCATTTTCAGCAGAAAATGAATGATCTTGTGTTCCTTTCTTTATATTGGGCGATAGGATTTTAATGTATTTGGAAGGTGTAGATTATGCATTCAATCGACAAAATAAAATTTGAGGCAACAAGTAATTCGTTATGACCACTTGAGTTCAATCTGATATGCTTTATATCAATTTGGATTCTACTTATGAAATGTAAGGGTTTAGGTTTTAAGTCTCATTGTGGTATAAAGAAGTATAGTTTACAAGGTGAGTCAGCGGTTCAAAAAAATAATATTTTTATGATATGGTCAGAATTAATTTTTTTTTAACGTAATGTTTATATTTTGTAGTTTAGGACATTCTTATTGGATGACCATTTGTTTGTTCTATGAAACAGAGAAAGTGGTCTACGTAGAACTTTGTTTTTTGATGTTCGGTAAATCCTACAAGGACATGAAAGAACTTTGGATTCTTGAAGTCAATATTTTTTTTCTGGATTTTGCTTTTAGATCTAAGAAACATATGCACAAATTTGTAATTTGAAGTCAATAATTTTTGCTCTTTAATCCTTGTTTGCTATTTCTTTTGTTTGTTCCCTAGTTTGTGATTGTGAACTTTCTAATATTATGGGCACATTTCCTTTGCTTGCTCCCTAATTTTATAAACAAGATGGACATTTCCTTTGCTTGCTCCCTAATTTTATATTATAGTAATCTTGAAGACAATAACTTTTTATCACAAAATAAAAAGAACTAAGGGCGACATATACATCATTTTTTTAAGTTGCAAAGTTGCAAATTTTCTTAGAAAAAAGCTTGCATTGTTAAAACTTTAGAGGGTGTTTGTTTAATCTTTTTGAACCAACTTTTACACTTTATCTTTTCCAAAAAGTTAAAATAAGTTAAAATAAGGTAAAAGATGTTTGGCAAATATAAAAGATCTTTTAAAAGTTACTTTTCATAAAGAAAGATTTAAGGCATTTGGAAAAGTCACGTATCTGTGACTTTTTGAAACTTTTGAAGGCTTTTTCAATTAAATGACTGATATACCCCCTACCCTAAAAAATAAACTCGTTCTTTTCTTATTTTTCTCGTTCTGCCGCTACCTTTCCTCTCTCGTTCATCACTCTGGGTCTCTCGCCGTCGTTCGTCGCCGGCATTCTCCAACGCAACGCCGATCGTCCGGCGATCCACACAAATCCGGCGATCTCCTTTCTCCCTCTCCGACCAGGTATTCTCCGATTTTGGTTTTTTTTTTTTTTTTGTCTTTTGATTTTCAATTTTAACAGCAAAAATCTGTGAAGCTTCGTTTTTGCTTGTACTGTAAGTGGATTTCTTCCTCAGATTTCGATTTTCCTAGATTTATATGTGATTTGTTCCTTCAATTTGTTCCTTGTTCCTTGCATGGATCGGTCCCTGCTGTTAACAGATTGTGTTGTTAACACTTTAATACAATTGTGAAATTGATAATTTATTGGATAATTATTAGTGAAATTCATGAATATATGGATGATATTGATTAAAAGTGATGAAATTTTTTTGTTCACAGGAACCAATTTGTGTTGCTAACAGGTAACATTTGTTGTTCTAATTTTTCTGCTTTAATTAAACTATAGCTCATGAATCATATAAAAGATTGATTAGCAATTGTTTAAATTGATAAAACCATTTAGGAAGGTTATTGAAATTGGTTTGGTGTTAATATGTTGATATGAAATTCACAGATGGACGAAAACCTCACCACTGTTGTTGACTGTGAAACATCTTTAAAAATGAAAAAACCAAAATTCGTATGGGATAATCGTAGCTTCATGGTGTTTGTTGATTCATGTGTAACTGAAGTAAAAAAAAAGGCAATAAAACCGGTAGTCACTTAACTAAAGTTGGATGGGAGAATATACAAAAACACATGAAGGACAAAACAGGTTATATTCTTGAAAAAAAACAACTAACAAACAAATGGGGGAATATGAAAAAAGAGTGGAAGCTTTATGACCGATTAATGAGGCTTGAAACCGGACTCGGTGGGACGAGAAGCTAGATAGATGCATCGCCCGAGTGGTGGGAGGAGAAAATAAAGGTATTTACTATTCTTTGTAATTATTTTAAGTTATAATTGCATATATATTGCATATAGATTGAGCATATTTGATTTACATTATCTTTTTGTCTTGTAGGAGAATAAAGATTATGCAAAATTTAGGAACGCAGATTTGAGCCTATTTGATGAGAAATATGCTTTTTTGTTTCGGGATTCCGTTGCCGTTGGAGATCAGACTATGACTCCATTACAGTTTCAAAACAATAGCAATCCAAACGGAGAAAATGTGGAAGGCAAAGGAGATAGTGATGATATCAATTTAGATGATGATGTTGAGCCGCTTTTTCCTAGTTTCCATGAAAGTAGTTCAAGTAAGAAGAAAAGGTCTAAGCATGTTTCCAACAACCGTTCAACCAAGAGTAAAAGTTCAGTTTTCGAAGAAAAAGTAGATGCTTTGTTGGATGCCATATCAACAAAAAGCACACAAACTTATCCACAAAATAATCCTTCGCCAACAATAGCAGATTGCATGGCCATTGTTACCAAGTTTCCCGATTTTCGTGAAGGCTCCAACGAATTTTCACAAGCATTGTTTGTGTTCACCAAAAAGCAAAAACGTGAAGCTTTTATGTTTCCAACGACTGACGAAGCCAAGATGGGGTTCCTTAAATTACTTATGAAATAATTATTTGGCAATATGTGTTATGCTTTGACATTATGTTTTAGGAATATTTGTTATGTGTTTACAATGTTTTAACATTATGTGTTGTCCTTTGACATTATGTATTTGACATTTTATATTATGTGTTATTATTTGTCTTTATGTTATGTGTTATTGTTTGACATATTTTTATTTGTATTATGTAGGATGGATAGTGATGAGTCTAATTCTTCTAATGATAATGAAGAATGGTGGGTGGAAGAGGATAGACAATTTAAAATGTTATGTGGATTAGCTTTAAAAGGTATAATACTAGCTCGTAACGTACGTATGCCATGTCACACTTCAGACCGCACAGGGAACATGTTTATTAATGAAGTACTAAATGGACATCCTAGACGGTGTTATGAGATGTTTAGATTGCACGTACCGGTTTTTAGACAGTTATGCGCAGATCTTGCTACAAATTACGGGCTACAACAAACACGAAATATATCTATTGAGGAATCTGTAGGAATATTCTTGATGACGTTGGCTCATGGGTGTAGCAATAGATTTGTGCAAGAGTTTTTTAACCATTCGGGGGAAACAATTCATAGGCATTTCCATACAGTTTTGAAAGCCGTGCTAAAACTGAGTGCCAACATCATCAAGCCAGACGCAAACTATAATGATGATGTTCCTGAATATATATTAAATAACCCTCGGTATTACCCAATGTTCAAGGTATTATCTAATGTTCATTTTCTTAGTAGTCAAACTTTAACAAATCGTTTATTTATGATACATTTTTGTATTTGAAGGATTGCATTGGTGCTATAGATGGGACACACGTTAGGGCATCAGTTCCACAAAACGAGGAAGCGAAGTACATTGGTCGAAAGGGATATGCAACACAAAATATAATGGTTGTTTGTGATTTTAACATGTGTTTTACATTTGTATGGGCCGGTTGGGAGGGGACTACACATGACACAAGAATTTTCAATGAAGCCCTACATAGACCAGATCTTAATTTTCCATATCCAACTGGTGGTTAGTTTAATTTTTTTGGAACACAAGTTTTATATTTTTACTACTTTTTTGAAAGGAAAAAATAATTTGTTTGTTTTAATTACAGATAAATATTACGTTGTTGATGCCGGATATCCAAATACTAGAGGGTATCTTACTCCATACAAAGGCACAAATATTCGTTATCATTTACCGGATTTTCGACGTGGACACTCGGCTGCTGTTCGTGAACCTCGTGGACCGAAAGAGAAATTTAACTATCTCCACTCATCATTGCGGAATATCATTGAACGAACTTTTGGAGTGTGGAAAGCTATGTGGGCGTTATTAAGAGACATGCATGTTAATTACAAGTATAAGAACCAAGTTAAAATTGTGATAGCATCGATGGTGATCCATAACTATATCAGAAAGTTTGGTAGGTTTGATGAAGCGTTTAATAGGGCACAACAAGAATCCTACAATCCCATACGAAGTGATACTAGTAGTGAAGTTTACGAAGAAGGTCCAAGTACACGTCGCACGAGTGGTGATGATTTATATATGGCAGCGATACGAGATATTATTGCACAAGATATAAACATATTGCGAAGACGAATGTAATATTATTTATGATATTTTTTATGAATTATTTATAATTTGTATGAACATTTTTTAATGTTATAATAAAAATTTAGGAATATTTAAAAGAAATCTATATTTTATATTTTCTAATAAAATATTTACAAAATTATAATATGTATTTAAAAAAAATGTTAAGTTGAAAATAATATATGTAAATTACTAAATAATTGTAAATATATAAGCATGTCCTTTTTAGTCATTTTACATGCAAAAGTTAAGCCAAACACCTTTTAAAAACAATTTTTGACTTTTGTTTCTCAAAAGTTAATCCAAACACATTTTTAAAACCATCTTTTGTGAAAAGTTCTTTTACAAAAAGTCCTTTTGCAAAAAGGACTTTTGATGGCAAAAAGATAAAACAAACACCCCCTTAATGCAACCCTTAATGTAAAAAGAGTTGAATGAGCATATTATTTTTTAACTATACAATATAAATTACAAAATACACTAAATTAAAACTAATTAGAATATTTATCTATATTTAAATATAATATCAAAGATAACTATTATTGCGAACCATTAAACTGTATATTCTCAATAAATATTTCTTCCTTTGTTTATTTTACAATTGTGTTACCAAATCGATATAAAAAATTTGGTCAGAAATGTATGATTGCTTCCTCAACTGAACAAGCAATGAGTTTTAACAGATCGTTACTAAAAATATGTTGCAATTTTTAAATCGGACCTGATGCTGAAAGGCTAAAAATGTGTTGCAATTTTTATATATTTTGAAATATATTTAGAACCAATTTATTGATTAGAAAAGGTGAAAACATAACCTAATTTCTATACTCAAAAATGGTAAATCAAATCAAATCAATCACACACAACGAATTTCTGATACAATTCACCAGAAATCGCAGCCTCCATCCTTTCCACAGGTGTCAAACTACCTTTCACATTCTTATCTCCAACATCCTCCGGTTTAATCACTCCACCTTCTTCAAGAAACAAAGTCAACAAATTCTTTGAAAACCCACTCAGCAGCGCCACCCCTTTCCGGTCAACAGTCACCGGAGTACTCTTGGAATTTCTAAGATTCCAAAACACAATCTCCGGCACCTTCGCATATCCACAACTCTTAAACTTCCTCTCGATCGCTTCATAATCCGTCTCCCATGGATCCACAGGTGCCTCATCGACCTCAGAATCAGAATCAGTCTCCCATCGATGATACCTAGCTGAATACCTAGAAGTCTCAGACGCTTGATCGAACTCCATATCACTAAAAACAAACACTCTTTCCACCATTTCATCTTCACCTAACTTCTCCTTCACAGCCACTTCCAACAATCTGTCAAAAACTTTCTGGAAATTGGTGTTGAATCCGGCTTCCATTTTTCGGATGAACTCTGTTTTTGACCGGAGGTTGTCACCTTTGATCTGGTGGAGCTCCGGCGATTCGCTGAATGTGATGACGTGGCCCTTCCATGGATCTGCGGAAAGTTCAGAGACTAGTAACCCGAGAGCCACCGCGACCTCCATTGGTGTACCTGACATGCTGCCGGAGACGTCACAGACTGCTATACAGTTTGTGAGTTTACCTTTTTGTAATAAATCGTCAACCATTCGTTTCCACTGAAGCTCGGCTACTATGGCTGCTCCGCTGCCTCGATCTAAAGATGCGATGATTTCGTGGGGGAGTAAAGCTCCGGCGGCGATCTTTGCATCACCGGTGGTGACGTTTTGTAGATACTCATGGAAGCGGGCGTTGTCTCGGTGTAAGAATATGTCGGTGTAGTTTTTCATGGCTATGGAAGCTACTCTTTCGTAGGTAATGGAGCTCCATTGCTTTGCGCTCATGTAAACTTCGGGTAAATGTAAGGCGCTGCGAAGAGGAACGAGTACTTGTTTCCTCAATCGATTTTTGATTTTGAACACGTAATTAGTGTCATCAAGACCATCGAATTCTGGATTGGAATTTCTAGGGTAAATCATTCTAGCAATTGATTCACAAATCAGTGTGGCATTATCATAAGAGGAATCAACGCTAGGGCACCATTTTGCAGCTAGACTGATTTTGGTAGGGTCACCGGAATTCAACGATTGAATATCAGATTTTAAACGATTAGCGAAGAAGCTTGATACCTGATCGTGTAAGTTCTTATAATCTTCATCTGAATTGTATCTATCCTGTAATTTTTCGGCCATGGCGGATATCTTTTCCTTCCTAGACGCTTTTGCTCTCTCTTGCTCCGCCTTCATATGTGCCCTATTTGCCTCGATCCTTTGCTCTCGAGGGACTTTTGCCCTTAATTTCGCTTTCATCTCCATCTCGGCCTTGTTCTTTTTCTGCTTTCTATTCATCTTCTTCTTCGAGAGGAAGTATTGCTTCCGAACTCCACCTTTTCCTTTCACCAATTTCTTCAATGTCCATTCTTCTTTTGCAATTTTACGCACATCGGAACCTTGAATCAACCTATAGAGGATCTCCAACAAGTCCTTGAAATATCCAAACTCAACCAGAAGTGGAATATTCGACGCTAACGTCTTCGGGTGGTGCTTATGGAGCCACAGCGCCGCCGTGTAGAAGCCCTCTTTGTCCGATTTTCCAGTACCGCGTACGCCTCTGAGATTACATACGAGTTTTAGCGTAGTGAGTGGATCGTGATTCCATGCAACCTGTAGCCGACTGATCAGAGATTTCGGACGAGTGTCCGGTACGACGTGGAAGAAGAAGTCGAGGCAGGGGTTTCCAGATGATGCGTAGGTGGCGGCATTGTTCTCTGTGAAGCTTTTACGAGGTTCGTAATCATAAGAGAATTCGCTTAAGTCGTCTGTCATGGCGTCGTCGGAGGTGTATTCCGGCGAGGACATCGGAGAGTTATCATTGGAAGCCATATGTGATTTTTAGAAGATAATAAAGTGATGACTGATGACTGATGACTCTGCGTTTGTGATACTTATATGGAACTCAATACGTGAGGCCAAAGCAAACTAAATACTAATAGTAATAAAAATGTCCAATATATTCTATTATCGACTGATAAAAGCAATATTATTTTATTTACGTTAAATATTTTAGAAATTATATAGATTAATTTTGAAATTTATTAGAGGAACAGTACTTCAATATGATTGGCTCTTTTTTTTTTCTTTTTGGTTTTTTTTTTTTTTTTTTTATTTATCTAGGGAACAGTATTTCAATATGATTGGTTGTTTGGCTGTTTTTTTTTTCTTTTTGGCATTTTTTTATTTATCCTTTTATATATTCTATAGTGGTGGGTAGGAGTATGTGTTGTCAATGTTCGGTGTTACGTGTTGTAATCTACTCCCGCCTCCCATTTCTTCTAATACATATCTACAACAAACCATTTACCAATCCCTCCCACCACCTCCTGTGAATTCCTTTCGCTTCATCAAACCCATACCATTTCACTTCACCTACTTTCCTCACCTTCCTCACTTGGGTTGCAATTCATGAATGGGAAGATTGATCGACGGTGGTAAGATGTCACCACCACCAGCAAGGTTGCAGAACTAGCTACTCGGTCCCTGCTCGGCCGACTACCGAGTATGGAGTATTCGGGGAGTATTCAGATTCGGTAATTCGTGTAGAAATATTTTTTTAAAAAATTTATATGTCAAAATCATAAGTTAAAATCATAATTGTATCAAGATGTTCAACTTGAAAAAATTAGTTTATAGAAGCTGTTAATATTGTTGAAGGAAAATGGACATGAAGTGTTTGTGGAAATGCCCAAAAAGAAGGTAATATGTTTCTATTATCTCATTATCTGATATGATCCTTGATCTGTCTGGCCTATAGAAAAACATAAATAAAATTTTCGTAAAAGACTTAGGTGCTGTTTGTTTTTCTATAAAAACCTCTTCAAACCACTTATTGCTGCGCGGCGCAGCACACGCGCAGCACTTTCCCTCTCGCAGCAGTTTGTTTTTTGGAAGACTTCAGACTACAAAACCTCTGCGCATGTGCTGCGTGGCGCAGCACTTGACTTGCCTCTTCTAACCTCTTCAGCTTTCATTTTTCATTTTTTCTAATTGTTTTTTTAAGAACTTTTGTATAACTTTTTTTAATTTTTTTTTTAAACTTTGATTTTCTTCAATTTTTATTTACGAATGTGATACAATTTATTTTTACAATTTCCATGATTTTTTTTAACTTGATTTTTAAAAAAGTTTCATATTTTTGTTTTTTTACATGTTCTTGTTATTATTATTTCAATTTTTAAGACTAGAATTATTAAGTTTCAGTGTTGAGAACTATTTTCAATTTATTAAATTAGTTTATTTAAATTTTAGTTTACTGCAGCAGTCTGCAGATGTTAAAAAACAAACATGCTTCTTATTATAGGTTGCAGCCGTTTGTTCCACCTCTTTTGCTACAGAGGATTGCAGAGGTGGTCTGCAGCCTTCATAAATTTTCGCTTCGAAAAAACAAACAACACCGTATATTTTGGTGATAGCCATCATTTCGCCTGTTGATTATAAAAATACCTTTTCATCTGATATTCTTAAGAAATGAAGGATTTTTCTTGAGAAAATCAGTTAATGATGCATTAAGTATACCTACCGATGTTTTATTTTTAATATCATTTTGCATGTCATACAAATTGAGATGATGATTGTGGCCTCCATTAAGTCGATAATTTCATAGAGCCATATATGAAGAATGTGAATGTAAGGCTACAAGTGAATCTTATGTAATATGTAAATGAAATGATGTTTTTTATAAACCAATAAAATTTTCTATTTGGTTCTCTCATTTAACAGTTTTGTTTTATGAATGTTACTTGTGAAATGTACACTTTAATCGCTCATAATTAAGACGAATTAACTGTTAAGTTGCTAAATTTTACTTTTATATTTGAAATGTTAGAAAGAAACCTTTTCAGGAGAAATATATTTCATATATTGTTTTGCATGGAAGATGAGGGGTGTTGATTCACTCATTAGAATAATAAATTTTTTTTTATTGTTAAGAAATTTTGTAAATAATTTGGCACAAAATTACTCTTATGTGTGTGAAATGGTTTGTTGGCAATATTAAGAAATTTTGTAAATAATTTGGCACAAAATTACTCTTATGTGTGTGAAATGGTTTATGTTGGCAATATTAAACCATGTATGTTAGCCCAAGTGAATAAAAAAGTTGTACCATATTTGGATCTCTGTTGGAAGTAAGAAGGGATCGATGATGGTATATACCAACATTTCTTTATTGGTTATAAAGATTTAGTTTTTCCATTTGAATAGAATTCTTATTTGTTTAAAAAAAAATTTGCAAACATAAGTATTTCTCTTGGGAAGAAAAAGGCTCAGATATTCACAAACAGTGTTGTAAGATAATATCTCTTATTGGTTGTTTTTTTTACTTAATCTGGACATAATTTATTAAGATATGAGCTTTTAACCTAATTGTATTTCTTCTTTTTTCCTTTCAAATAAAATTGATGAATATCGTGAAATTGTTTTCTTTGTAATGTATGGGCAAAATGGTCATTTACTTACATCCAGACAGCTTGTTTCTTTGTAATTGTATTTCTTCTTTTTTTCCTCTCAACTCCTCTTACACTAAAATTTATGAATATCTTACACTAAAATTTATGAATATCGTGAAATTTGTTTCTTTTTAATGTAAGGATAAAATTGTTATTTAGTCACATTCAGGAGGGTTGTTATTTTGTTTCTTTGTAATTGTATTTTTTCCTTTTTTACCTCTTAATTACTCTTACACTAAAATTGATGAACAAATTTGTTTCTTTGTGATGTAAGAGTAAAATGCTCATTTAGTCAAATTCAAACAATATATTCAATTTTGAAAAGAAACATGACTTATGTATAGTGTGTTTTATGATTACCAATACACAACCTAATGGCCATGAGATTGCACATAGAAAAAAAGACCACCATCATTGATGGAAAAGCAATCGCACTAACAATCCATTCTGAAATTTCCTTTGAAGTCGGTACCTGTGTTGACAAATATGGCAAGGTAAAGAATTGTCATTTCATTTCTCTGCATATACACATACATTACTATTTGAATAAAACATTATGTTAGAAAAAATGATTTATTTCAGGCACCAGTACTTGCTGTGGTGATTGTGGGGCATAGAAAAGATTTACCTATTTTTGGCTATTTTTGTTTCTTTTTTTCAGTATGATTATCAATTGGTAGATGTTATGGAATTTGAAATTAGTTCAATGTAATGTAATTCAATAAAGTTTTTCTGTTTTGTCTATATGTTCGTCGAATCCAACCCCGCAAAGTGGGGATTCTTCTCTAATTTTTAATTAGATAAATTAAATAGTCTCATACTTTTTGTTTCTATTATCCTCTTACTTATTTTAGATGCTGACAAGTATCATTAAATTTAATTTAAATTTGATTGAGATTCTAAATTTATACACTTATCATTATCTTAAATAGGTAGGAAGAAAAATAAGAACCAAAAATATGAGAAAATTTAATTTTTCTTTTAATTAATTTTGTCAAAAGATTGTAATCTTATCTTATATCATATATACCTAATAAATAATTATCTTATTTTTTTTTACCCAAACTTTCCTTATGTCAGATTTCCTGTTATGCCATCGTCATGAATAAAGCTTATTTACGTGCTCAATATTTTGTACCCGAATGATCCTTTTTTGGCGCTCTTTCTGACGTTAAGGAGCCGATAAATCAGCCATTAGATTAGCAAGATTCCAACTAATAAGCCAATAAATTAGGTTGATTTTTCTAATATTCATATTTTAATCATGTATGATATCTATGTTATCTTTAAATGTTATTTGAATTTTAAATCTAAAAATATAATAATAAAATAATAAATATTTTTAAATAACAAATACTAAATTAAAAATATATATCGTATTTGGTTTTCGTGAAGTGTTGTCTAAAAATTAAAACTTAGAAAAATGGCTATCATAACTCACTAGATATAATCATTAGATGATCTCTAAGTCAATTTAATTTTGAAAAACTTAATAATAAATTAATAAAAAACAAAAAAAAAAAAAAAAAAACAAAAACAAAAAACAAAATCAAAAACAAAAACAAAAACGTGAGTGACTTCCCACCCAAAAAAACTAAACACCTTAGTAGATGATGAAAATTTCAACTATATATTTAATATTTTGGATTTTCTTGTTCAGCAAGTAATCACATAACTCAATTTATATACTCTTAATTATTTTCTTAATATCTTTTATTTCCTTCTATTTAATATTTTTTTTAATCATCCAATCGAGGTCTTCCTAGAAGATAGTTACAAAATTTATTATGATTATGTATAATGAAACAATGAGATATATATGATTTCAATAAGGGTAATTAATTTTGTTATTAATTATTTTATAAAACGGTTGCAAAAATATTCTAACCCGCGTCGTGTATTTTTCTTTTTTATTATGAATTATTACAAAAACAACTGTTTGTTATATAAATTATATAAATGGTTACAAGTAATCTTATATCTTATAGCTTATCTTATGCTATCTTATAAAGTATATTAATCATGTTTTGATGTTTTGAATTTTAAGAGATATAAGATATAAATTTTTTTATATACAAATCTTTTATGCATAAAGAATTCAATAATACTTATCAAAAGTTTGAATACTTAAATTAAAGAAAGTAATTAAGAAATTCAATTTAGAACAAAATGAAAACATATACATCTATCTATAATCTATATCTATATATCTATCTATTTATAATAATAATAATTCTAATAAAAGACTCTTTTGAAATGGACGTACCACATGTCAGTTTTATACACCTTGAAATTAAAATTTTCCCGTCTATGCAAATATCTTCCTTAAATGCTTTAAAATCAGGAACTAAATTTTGAAACAATCTAATTATATCACAA